AGGAATATGTTGGAATATATTTATTTCCATTTTGCAGAAAAAAAAAGAGAAAAACGAGACGAGACGAGACAAACGAGACGAGACGAGACAAACGACACGAGACAAGACATAATGAGACGAAACGAGAAGAGTCAGACGTGAGACAAACGAGTCGAGATAAGAAGAATCAGTGAAAACAATGACAGAAACGAGACGAGACGAGAAAAGCCGGTCGAGAATGAGAGAAACGAGAGGCGAGACGAGAGTCGAGAGACTCCCCCTCTCTGCCCCTCTGTCTATTTTTTTTCCGTGCAAATTGGATTATAGAGACGGACGAAAGCGAGACGAGACAAGACGAGAGAAGAAATTGCTCTCGCATTTCGATACGAGATGGGACGCGAGCCATGACGAGACGAGAAGAGTCATTCGAGGCAATGATGAGACAAGACGAGACCAGACGAGACGAGAGAATCTCTCAATTCTCGAAGAGACAAGAGAAGAAATTGCTCTCGGATTTCAATACGAGACGAGACGAAAGAATGGCTTCCTGATAACGAGACGAGACGAGACAAACGAGACAAGAAACTACATCTCGTCTCGTCTCGCGGCATCACTGAACGGCGACGAATGATCTAAATGAAAAATGGAAAATTGCGACACACCGTAGTCACAGAGAGACATAGGTAGGACGTATGCAGAATGTCTCGGAGATAATAAAAGATCACGGCATCAATCACCCCTGGATTTGGGTTGCATTATATTACCCAGCACGCACGGGATCTATACGAACCAATCGTGCCATGTTATATGCCGCGAAACAGCGAGATAAAGAGAAATAAAAATGCGATGAGAAATGAAAGAGAAAAAAAAGTGCATACACACGCGATCTCAACACCATGAATCAACAACGTACACCCTAGATAAGGCACTTCTGATCTAACGGAAAAACACGAATTTATAGGCGTCGATCGTGGGAGGATTATGAGTATATTAAATAACAAGTGAAAGAGAAGAATTTCACGGGGGAGGGATAATCGAGGGAAAAAGAAAATCCAACGAATGGTAAATAAAAAGTGAATGATGGAGTACCGTGAAGATGTTGTCAAGGGTGCGTGGGATTAAAAGGGACCTCATCGACTCGTCAGAAGGCGGAAGTGATTCCCTGCGATTTACGATCATTGGCCGTCGTTGGCTTCTTGAAAGGTCGTCGTGCGTTTTATATTCCTTATTTCATACTGAAAAAGATACACTCGTGCCACACGAGGTCGGTCACACGAAGATGTGAATTCACCAACGAGTTTGTGCGACAGAGGAGCGTCAATGGCACAACCGTAATCCACGATATACCGCTAGAGCGAAAAGATTCATTCCCGTTTTCATTTACTAGACCTGTGCGCGCGCTTATGTGTTCGTTGTGAAAATGAAGAAATCGAATTTATTAAACTTCATGGACTCATAGATGTTTTATAGATATTGATGATGACTTGAAGAGAATGAAGAGTGAAACGTCAATGAATAATTTTTAATCTTCGATTAATTCTTTTTTTTACATTTTAAAATAATCTGATTAAAATCTGCAAATTGCTGAAAAATGAGGAGAGGGTTACGAATTAATTTCCTAGAAAAGTGAAAAAATTTCTTGAATTCTTCGGAAAATTTCACATCTTTTCAGATAACCGGAGATCTTCAAAGACCGGATATGACGTGCATGGACATCGATTATTTTCATAAATCGAGAAGAAATGATCGATATCTCGCAGTTTGATTATTTCGAGAATACCGCATCAGCTCCTGTAGCAATAAGAACTAGCATAAGAAGGGGCGCTTCGCACGCCTTGAAGGTTAGACCGGATATGACCTGCTAGACATCGATTATTTTCATAAACCGAGAAAAAATGATCGATATCTCGCAGTTTGATTATTTCGAGAATACCGCATCAGCTCCTTTAGCAATAAGAACTAGCATAAGAAGGGGCGCTTCGCACGCCTTGAAGGTTAGACCGGATATGACGTGCTAGACATCGATTATTTTCATAAATGGAGAAAAAATGATCGATACCTCGCAATTTGATTATTTCGAGAATACCGCATCAGCTCCTTTAGCAATAAGAACTAGCATAAGAAGGCGCGCTTCGCACGCCTTGAAGGTTAGACCGGATATGACGTGCTAGACATCGATTATTTTCATAAATCGAGAAAAAATGATCGATACCTCGCAATTTGATTATTTCGAGAATACCACATTAGTTCCTTTAGTAATAAGGATTTCTCTCTCACTGTTTCGTGGAAGACAATTGCGATATTAATTGGAATATTTTGATGGAGTAATAACGCATGCACTTGATGTGCAGCAAGTTGTGAGAGAGAAGAAAGGGTTGAGAACACCGGCTAAAAAGATAAGAAAGTAGAAGGTGAGGAGGATCACTCGGTGAAGTGGTTGCTGGCTCCGATGGGAAACGAAGTGGTGTACGTCTGCGGTTGTGGAGGGGTTGATGGGGGGGGGAGG